GGGGTGGCAGTGAGTGTGCCACTGCACCCCAACCAGGGCGACAGAGTGAGACTCCAACTCAAAAAAAAAAAAAAAAATGCCACCACGTGGCATCTGACATTTGGCAAACGACTTGTATCCAGAATATATAAAGAGCTTCTAAAATAAACATATGACCCAATGAGAGACTAGGCAAAAGATATGAACGTAACAAAAGGTGTCTTTGTGTATGGTAAAGTACTTAACATTCTCAATCATCAGAAAAATGCAAAATGAAATAATAATAAGTTAGTCAAATTTTTGTGTGACTAAAGTTTTTTTTGTTTATTTTATTTTATTTTTTGAGTTGGAGTCTCACTCTGTCGCCCAGACTGGAGTGCAGTGGCCGCTCCCGGCCACCACCGCAGCCTCGACCCGCTGGGCTCCGGCGATCCTTCCGCCTCAGCCTTCCAAGTAGCTGGAACTACAGGTGCGTGCTACCATGCCAGGCTAATTTTTTTATTTATTGTACAGATGAGGTCTCACCAAGTTGCCCAGGTGGGTCTCGAACCCACAGGCTCAGGCAATCCACTCACCTCAGCCTCCCAAGGCGCGGGATCATAGGCTGAGCCACCGAGCCCGGCTTGTGTGACTAAAGTTTAAAAAGTTAACAACACTAAAAATTGGTAACACTAAAACTATGGAACTGAAGCTCACATGAATAAACCTCTTTGGAGAACAGTTTGGTAGTTTTTTAATGAAGTTAAACATACATACGCCCTGTGACTCAAGTAATTCCACTTCTAGGTATTTATCAAGAAACTTATTTAAAAGGCCAAACCACTAATACTTGCAACAACACAGATGAATTTCAAAAACAGTTACATGAAAGAAGTCAGACACAAAAAAGCACATACTATATGATTCCACTTATGTGAAGTCCAAGACCAGGCAAAACAAATCTGTGGTGTCAGAAGTCTATGGAGTCAGAAAATGGTTGCCTTTGGAGAAGTATAGGTGAGGAAAATGGCAGGAAAGAAGTATGAGGAAACTTTCTAGGTTGATTATAAAAAATGTTTCCTATCTTGTTCTGGTAGAAGTTACAGTGTATAAAATCGTCAGATCTTCTTGAACTAGACACTTTAGGAAATGTGCATTTTGTTGAATGTTAATTATACATCACAAAAAATTGCAAAGTAGCACTGTTTCAATATATAGGCTAATAATTTTGTTTTAAATAAAATTCGTGGACACCACAAATGCATTTTTAATCATTTATCACTTTGGATCATTCACCTCTATTCCTTCATTCTATAAATAATCTAATGAATTACAGACACATATAAGAATGTACGCTCACATATTTTTCATAAATAGTAAATCAAATTTGAGTCTTTATAATTTTATTTATGTATTTATTTATTGAGTAGGAGTCTCACTCTGTCGTCCAGGCTGGAGTTCAGTGGCACACTCATGGCCACCACATTCTCGGCCTGCTGGACTCATGCAAACCTTCTGCCTCAAGTCTTTCTTGTAGCTGGTACCACAGGTGTATGCCACCATGCATGGCTAATTGTTTTATTTATTGTAGAGATTAAGCCTCATCAGGTTGCCCAGGCTGGTCTCAAACCTCTGGACTCAGGCAATCCTCTCACCTCAGTCTCCCAAAGTGCAGGCGTGAGCCACCACACCTGGTAGAATCTTTACAATTGTAATGTGCACTTAATGCACCAGTTATAGGTCCAGTAGAATTTCTTATTTTTTTATACCATTTTTCTGTCAATATGATTTTACCTTTGTGATTTTAAAAAATCTGACATAAAACTATATAAATCATGCATCAGCAAGGAAGGTCAATGACCAGAGGATGATAGTGCTTTAGCCACTAATAAAGCCTAGAGAATAATACCTCCTCACCTATTCTAATCAAGAGAGTCCACGTGGCTGGGCTCAGTGGCTCAGCCTGTAATCCCAGCACTTTGGGAGGCTGAGGCGAGTGGATTGCCTGAGCCGTGGGTTCGAGACCAGTCTGAGCAACTTGGCAAGACTGCGTCTCTACAATAAATCAAAAAATTGAACTGGGCGTGGCAACGCACGTTTGCAGTTCTGGTTACTTGGAAGGCTGAGGCAGGAAGGATCACCGGAGCCCGGCAGGTCGACACTGGAGTGGCCATGAGTGTGCCACTGCACTCCAGCCTGGGCGACAGGGTAAGACTCCAACTCAAAACAAACACAAACACACACACAAAAACAGAGAGTCCACGCATATTTAAACATAAGAGCAACTGAAAAGCATAGAGACTTGTTTGCCAGCTATAACACAGCCTAAATATCATCATTGTACATTAGACTGATACCAGAATATCTACCAACATCATTTTTCCCCCTACTATTTTACTAGCTCCTCCTCTGGTTTCAATCCTCTTTATCTTTTCCCCTCCCTTTGCTGGTCTCTATCCAAGTATATTTTTATCATCACAGCCTCTTTCCCTCCCATGATATTGCCCAGATCTAATTGATTTTCTTTTCTAATTTTGTTTTCGGGCCAGGGTCTCACTTTGTTGCCTAGACTGGCCTCGAACTCCTGGGCTCAAGTAATCCATCAGCACCGGCCTCCAGAGTAGCTGGGATTACAGGCGCATGCCATCACAGCTAGTTCTTACTGATTTTCACATACCCAGCTCATCTCAGGTTCCAAATAAAATAAATGCACAAGACTGTACTGTTTTCTATGCAGATATATCACATACACTCAAATAGTATAGAGAGCACAGCCTGGGGGGGGCAGAGATGATTCGTGAGTGGAAAAAAAATTAGACTTCATTTGTTCTCTGCCCTTACAACTTGAAAAGATGTCTCCCTCTGAACACCTACCACATGTTTTTATTCCTGCAGATGGCTCTTACAAGTGCTGTGAACTATAAACAAGTGCATATGCCTCATCTCCAAGGGAGTAAGCTCCTAGACAGGAACCATGTCTTACACATATTCACCAGGAGCCTAACACCGTGTACAGAATGGAGCAAAACACATACTTGTTGAATTAGTGAATTACTGAATTAATGTGAATAAAAACAAGTAAGGGTGGAAGAGGAGGACAGAAAAAAAGCTGAGAGGGTGCATCAAAGAGAAAAAGGGAAGGAGAAAAACTTGTCATGAAGGCAGATGTTTTTGTTAGAGTGTATACGATTACAGTATTTTTTTTTAACTGAGAGCTGGAAAAGCAATTGATATGTATCTAATATCACAGGTATCAGTACAGTATTTAAATTGTCATTATAAACATCTTAAATAGCTTTATAATTACCTCCCCATTCTTGATATTAAAAATGTGGTCTCTGACAGCATCATCTATCAGACTTACAGATTTTAGGGCCCCCCTTCAAACCTACAATATCTTGAGTGATTTATGCATGTTAAAGTTGGAAAAGCACTGTCCTACGTATGTGCACTCATATGCTTTCTTTCTGTTGCAGCGAACCTGTGTTTTGCTTAAATGAGTCAGTAAAGATTGAAAAATCTTTGAATGGGATGCGACCTTTACATATTTAACTTCAGGTGAAGTTATTAAATACACTGTAATTTGGCATAATATGTATACCACAAAACGTAGGCATTACTCATAAAAATATGTGATTAAAGAAAATTGAGCAGTAGGTTAATAACATTCTCAAGAACTCATATTTGTTCCTTCATGCCTAGCACAGGGCTTGGAATAATTTATGTGGCCAGTGTTTTCCGAACGTAAGTTAAAAAAAAAAAAAGAATGTTGAAAAATCAGAAATATTTAGGACTGAAATATTAAGGGCTCAAAAAATCTTGGAGTCATCTGGTCCAACAACCTTAGTTTGAAGATGAGCAAGCTAGAAATTCTCAGAGGTGCAAATGCAAGAAAGCTCGGAGATCTAAATAAAATAGAAACTCACATTTTAATAATCTTTTTGTCCGCTTAGTAGAAATGGGTAAGAAAGGGGATACTATTACGATTGCTGACTCTTGAAAAAGTGGTAGGGCAAAAAGGTGCCTAGGGAAGAAACTAGCGAGAGTAAATGAGCCTGGACAAAGCTATTTTTCTAAACCTAACGTATTTTTGACAGGTCAATTAATTAATAAATTTAATCTGCCAAAAAACTAATCCGGAGGAGTCTCAGAAAAAGAGACATGAGCTGCATAAAAATGTTACAAACCACGAGAGACTGCACATAACTAACTTAAGTCTCCACAGGCTTATTTCCTGTTGAAGACTGACCTCCTGGGATAAATTTTACTGCAGTGTTCATTACCAGATGACTTTTGGTTTTAAGAGAAGCCAAGGGCAAGTTGGAAATGCGATTCTTAACTAAACATGAAAAAGAAAGAAACTGCGGCTGTTTCCCATTTCTGTTTGTAATCAGAATGTAGGCTTGCGGAGGAAACACCAACTTCTGTAAGCAGAAATATAACGACCCAGTCACGTCCTCAAAACAAACCCACACACAAACTTCACAGCCGGATCCAGCTGTGCTGTCTGGGAGCCAGGAATTTAATTCTAAGAGCAGATCAAAACGGCGAATGCAAGATCAGCCAGATTTCAATCACAAAAAGGGTGTGTCCTAGGTCCCCTCCGCCCCCCAACTTTCAACAAGCAGAGCCTCTGAAGGAGTCTGGGTGAGAAAACGTTTGAGAGGATCGTCCCCCGAGCTCCGCCTGGGTGGGGTGGAGGGCGCTCGCACGGCCGCGGCGGGCGCCGGCTCCCGGGAGGGGAAGGGGCCGGTCCCGAACCCGGGGAGGCTGGGCCCGCGAATGATTCATCAGCAACTCCGAGTTCGCGCGCCTGGGTCGGCAGGCGACGCCCAGCGCGTCCCACGGCCCCCACCGAGCCGGTTCGCCCAAAAGCAGCCCCCAGCGTCGCCCTGCTCCCCGAAAAGGGCCCTGGGGAAGGAGACCGGAGCTACGCGGCTGGAAGGCAGCAACCTCCCTCGCTCTCCAGCCACCATGGCCGGTGTGCGACTCCCTGCCGCGCCCGCAGACAGACTTCCTGGAAAGCACCGGGCTGCGCTTACCTGACTGGCGCCCGCTGGGGCCGCCGACCTCTTCACAAACCCGCGGGAACGGCGGGGAGCAAGCCGACGCTCGGTTCCCAGCACCCGCCCGTCTGCCTGCGTCGGCCTCCCAGGGAGTCGCCTGAACCAGCCGCCGGCTGCACCCCTACTCGACCGCGCTGTCGGTGCGGCTGGTTCCTCCTCTGTCTCAGACGCGCGTGCGCACGCCCCGCTCGCAGGGCATCCTGGGAGTTGTAGTTCGAGCGAGGCGGGCGCGGCACGAAGCACACCCTGGGCTTCACAATGGGCAGGATATTGGAAGGGGCTGCGAATACCAAGTTTTATCCCAGCCTGAGGCAATGGTCTCTACTCGTAGAAGTACCCAGATCTACAAATCCCACCCACAGGCTCTTTGGGATAGATTTCCTTTTTACTTGAACCTTTTGTAAAGAGGCAGAAGACGGCAGGGCTTGCATTGCACCCTGGATTGCTAATGCGAGGACATGACATCGAGCCCTTTAAACTGATCATGTAAGACTGATAGAAAAGCAAACAAATAAAAGCTAAGCCCCAAGAGGCGTATAAGTCATGCGGATGTCACCTCAAGGGTGTGGTGACCCTAGTGGTTTCCTTAGGTATGCAACCAGGGATGTCTCAGTGATTGCTCTCATTTCCCCTGGCAGTTTCTGCCCCATTCCATACTCCCATTCCAGTTTCAAGCTGTACACCAGGCGGTGGGGATGGACTGATGAGAGTGGGAGAAAAAACAGAAACGGCTACTCAAAGAGGGTACTGGGGCAGATGGGTAGTCTGGAGGGGAAGACGAAGAGCATGGGACTGCCTCAAAGGACTATTTGACGGTGGCCTATATAATGCCTGCCTCTTGTGCCTGGCTCTAAGGAGAGGGAACAGCGATATCCTTCCCGTCCTTCATTTCATCACTCACTGGGAATTTTCCTGGCCTGCTCTTCAGGACTAGACCATCCCTGGAGTGATGCTCAGCTTTGATAACACCTTTCAAAAATGCTGCCAAGGAAGTGGACTGAAGTGCGCTTGAAGTGCATTCCAGCTACACCCAGGATGACAGACACCTGATGGTTAAACCTCTCCTGGCATCTACTTCTTCCCCTCAGAGCAGGTAGTACCATAGGTTAAGTAAACACCTTGGAATTTAATGCAGCTGGCACCCACTAATTTCAAAAATGAAACTCGCTGATGATTTGGATTGTTCAGGAAAAAAGTTCCTTCTAAATTGCAAATGCTCCTAGAAGACAGTCAACGTTAAATTTTGTGACTGTTGTGTCTTATTTCCTGTAGCATCTTTGTGTGAATCAATTTCTCATATATTCTTGGAGATAGTAGCTTTCTGAGAGCAATTTCCTACAGAATTCAGGTTCAACTAAATTTTATACTTAATGCATAATACATACCAAGCCCTGTGCCAACACTTCATTTATTAGACTTTATTCAATCCTCAAAATAACTCTACAAATAATAAACTAATATAATCCTCCATTTCTACAGATAAAGTAATATAATATAATAATATAATATAATCCTCCATTTCTACAGATTAGAAAACCTAAGACTCAGACAAGTTAAGTAATTTGCACAAGGTCACACAGCCAGTAATTGGAGATCCAGAAATGAGGCACAGGTATCCTGATTCTAATTCTGACGTGCTTTCCACTGCTAATCAGACTCATGTATCTCATAAATCTCACCAAATTTTTTTTTGGAATTAAAGTTTTATTTTTAAAAATTATTTTATTTTAGATTCAGGGGATACATGTTTAGATTTGTTACATAGGTATTAGTCATGATGGTGAGGTTTGGGTTTCTATTGTGCCCATCACTCAGGTGATGGGTGTGGTACTTAGTGGGTGGTTTTTCACTCTTGCCTCCCTCTCTCCCTCTCCTCTTTGGGAGCCCCCAGTGTTTGTTGTTTCCATCCTTATGCCCACATGTACCCGGTGTTTAGCTCCTACTTACAAGTGAGAACATGTGGTATTCAGTTTTCTGTGATAAATCACTTTGAGTGGTAGTCTCCAGCTGTATCCATATTGCTACAAAGCCATGATTTTATTCCTTTTTTTATGACTGTGTAGTATTTCATGGTGTATATGTACCACATTTTCTTTATTCAGTTCATCATTGGTGGGCATCAAGGTTGGGCACCCATGTTTTTGCCATTGTGGATATCATGGCAATAAACATGAGTGCAAATGTCTTTTTGGTAGAATGATTTATGCTTCTTTGGATATATACCCAGTGGAGGGATTGCTGGGTTGAGTGGTAAATCTATTTTTAGTTATTTGAGGAATCTCCAAACTGCTTTCTGCAGGGTTTAAACTAGCTTACATTCCCACCAACAATGTATGAGCATTCCCTTTTCTCCACAACCTTGCTAACATCTGTTTTTTTGTTTTTACTTTTTAATAATAGCCATCCTGACTAGTAATCTCAGCAAACTCTTTAAAGTAAAGCAATCTTTAATTATTTTAAGGGAAATTATCATGTCCAAGGTATATGAAAAAAATTCTCTAACAGCCTGGGGAATTGGCATGAATGAGATGAATATTTGGATTCCTTTGACAGTTCTATATATGCTATGTATATAGTATCCTAACTTATACTGGCTTATTAGTAAGCCTCTTGTGAATTCTTGCTATACCTCTGGGACATCACTCCTGAGAAAACTAACAAAATGGTGCTCCTGAACAAGCAAAGAAGAAAACCAAGGTCATGGAGATGCGGTTTATTTTAAGAAGACTTTCCTCTGCGACATGACTTCTTGTGCTTTGCTCTTTGGTCAGGAAGGCCTTTTAATTCAGTGTCTGGCTGATTTAATCTATGGCAATTTTCCTCTCTGACCTTCCAATAAGGGGTTGCAGGCAAACTTTAAAAGTATTTTATTGGCCAGGCTCGGTGGCTCAGCCTGCAATCCCAGCACTTTGGGAGGCCGAGGCAAGTGGATTGCCTGAGCCGGTGGGTTCAAGACCTGCCCGGGCAACTTGGTGAGACCTCATCCCTACAGTAACTAGAAGATTAGCCTGTAGTTCCAGCTACTTGGAAGGCTGAGGTAGAAGGATCGTCAGAGTCCAGCAGGTTGACACTAGGTTGGCCTTAAGTGTGCCACTGCACCCTAACCTGGGTGACGGAGTGAGACTCCAACTCAAAAAATAAAAAAGTATTTTATCTTTTAGTTATTCATTTAAAGTTTTCCCTAACAAATGGATGCATCTTCCCTTAGTGCCTTTTTCTAAAGCAATGCAGGTTGATGATGGGTTTTTTTTCCTTTCTTCAGACAAATGTTGTAATATTATAGTCACAAAGCTTCCAAATATGAACTTCATATTGCTTGTTTACTTAGTGTAAGCTCAAGGAGGACTTTGCTTTGTTTACTCCTCCATCCCTAACATCAGTGATACTGCTAGACACACAATAGGTGTTCAATAAATATTTGTAAATAGATAAATGCCGGATTCTTCCCTCCCTTTCCTCCTCTCATTTTGGAACACAGAACCAGAGGGTTCAGCTGGTGACCTGGTTCAGAAATAGACACCAGTTGCAAGACGGATAACTACACAGAAGAATAAGATTCTGTGAAACTCCTCTTGAAGTGAGACAGAGCTCTTTCTCCCCCGCCCCCACTCATGGCCACCCCAGTGTCTACCTGCTGGGTTTAGGCGATCCTTACGCCTCACCCTTCCAGGTAGCCAGAACTACAGGTGCCTGCTACCACACCGGGCTAATTTTTTATTTATTGTAGAGATGAAGTCTCGCCAAGTTGCCCAGGTTAGTCTCAAATCCCTGGGTTCAGGCAATGCTCTCACCTCTACCTCCCAAAGTGCTGGGATTACAGTCTTGAGCCACTGCGCCCAGCCCAGAGCTCTCTTTTAAAAAGACCATACGTAGCCAGGCACAGTGACTCACACCTGTAATCCCAGCACTTTGGGAGGTCAAGGCTAGAGAATTGCTTGAGCCCAGGTATTCAAGACCAGCCTGGGTAGCTTACCAAGACCTTATCGCAACAAAAAATAAAAAAAAAAATTAGCCAGGTGTGGTGACACTCCTGTAGTCCCAGCTACTTGGGAGGCTGAAGTAGAAGGATCAAGGCTGCGGTGAGCCATGATCGTGCCACTGCACTCCAGTCTGGGCAACAGAGTGAGACTCCAACTCAAAAACAAACAAATAAATAAAAGATCATACATTATAGTCATTGCTGTAATTTATAGTCAGAAAACACAATTCTTAGAGAGGGAGAAAGAGAAAAAAAAGCGAACATTATGTTTATATAAATAAGTGAAAAGGAAAATCTACTCAATGCCTGTGGTCGATTGACATACTGTTTCCAAATATTTGCGCCCCTCTGGAGAAATAGACAGCCCTACCCACTGCTGTGTGCCTGGCAGTGCTGCCCTGTGGACATTTTCAGTCTTGGCTATGATCTAGTGATGGGTTTTTCCTTTTTTCTTCAGACAGTGTCATACTGTAATCACAATGTTTAGAAGCGGGTATCTTACTTTGGCCAATGAAACTTGAGTGGAGGTGACAATAAGACGATTCTGAGTGGCAGCTTTAAGAGTCATCGCCGTTTACCGCTAGTGAGCTTGCTCTTTCCCTCCACCAAGAGGAAGGCATGTTCCAAACAAAGGCTGGCCCTTCTGCCTGGTCGTAGAGTAAGGATTTCCATGGGTCAGAGCCTCAGGCACACACAGGAGCTGGCATCATGTAACGTGAGCAAGGAGCAGACTGAGGTGGAGGCTTGTTTGTTGGTACAGACTTCCCTAGCAAAAGCTGACTACGGCAGTGCCTAATCAACCATGATGCTCTGAAATAGAAGTGGTAGGCACTCCCAGCCCCCTGTATTTAATCCCACTTCTAGTAATGGAAAATGAGTGAAATTCACACTAAAGAGAACACATCTGAGACCTTTAGGTAAAACATCTGAATACAGGGCAGCATATGGTTCCTGTTAGGTTTCAGGATTTGGTTAGAGTGAAAGTGATTGATAAAAGGACACTCACAACTCTACTAACTCTACTTAACGTATTACAAGCCCTAATGGGTGTAATCTTTAAACTTTTAGCCAGTGTTATTCATAAAGCGTGTCACATTGAATCATCCTATGAGAATTAATACTAGCAGCAATTTTCTTATTATTGAAGAGTTACTTTAGGAAATAGTTTCTTTGGTATACAAAAACTTTTGAGGGAGGTGAAA